TGACTGATATTAATAGCTTAATGGAGAATCAGGATGATCTGCATCGTAAATTGTCATTACGTGCCGCGAATTGCTTCGATTCGCAGTCTGTTCATTCAAATTACTAAGGTTATTTACCTAGCCAGATATGCAAAGCGAACAGCTTCTTCCTTACCGGTGTTCCTCATTCAGCGACAGATAAGGAATACCGGCTGAAAAGTTTTAATTACGCCCTAGACTTACGCATAACAGACGGGAATATTTCTATCGTAGTATGTACTTTGCATTCGAATTATTGTACAGGGTATAATTAACAGTACTTTTTGTACACAGGTGGAAAAGTGAGCTAGGAACGAAAAGCCAACATTAAATTCCGTTTCAAATTTGGTGAAACATTTGAAAAAGATAATTTAAAAAAGCTCATTTTTATGCTAACAGTGCTCGATTGACACGCTTTATTTCTAAGCGTTCCGCAGTCAAAAGATTAAGACAAATAGATAGGCAGAGTAAATTGAAACGAATTCAACGCTTTGCTTCTGAGAAGTCCAAACCCAAAGTGAACGAGGCGAATGATTATAACAAACAAGTATGTTCACAGTTAATAAAGGAATCAGGAGGGTATCAAAGCTGCACTGCTATGTACCCACAGATGCGGCACGCGAGCGACTATCGACAATAAATTACTGGTTTTCGCGTGACACAAAAGCTCCGTTCAGGGGATAGAAGCTGCATCGAGAATGGAAAGTCAGGACCGGCCGTGGCAGCTTCGGATAAAAGTCGCATGCGACACAGAAGTAGTCCGCAATGGTGTTGGCGTGCATTCGCGGAGTGATGCATTGGTATCGTGAAGTGATATATGCTTATGGGGCATGCGGGGTTTCGAACACGCACACGCGAGGCCACATAAGAAATACACGTGTGTCCTGCTACAGCGTGTTCATTATGTACTCGAGCGAATCATAAAGCAAGCCACGGAAAAAACGAATGAAAAATCCTGGAAAATTTTCCGGTGTATCTCTTAACGGAACGGGACCCACGTGTACACAAGTGTCGACTTTTCCAATCGATATGATTTTTATCAATATGATTAATTATAATTACAAAGAAGACTGAGAACGTCAACAATCACATTTGCTGCAATCTACCCATGGTTATTATAGATAGAGACTTTTAAAAATTAACCCATATATTCATTTAACGTAGACGATTATAAACAATATATTTTAGAATAAAATTTTTTAAAACTATTTTTAAAATGCTCTTAAACAAATACTGTTCATTTTCATTTAGCTAGAAATTAAAAGAAATATAGTTAATGTAATAAAAGAAAGTGAGTACAGGCTGGGCTCGAACCTGCGGTCAAAAAGTTCCTGCAGTTTCGCAGTCGAGCAATCTGCCGCTGCACCATCGGTGGCTGTTGGTATCTGACTAAATATGTTCATATATAAGGGACATAATGCAGTGTGAAGCGGTTGTATTTTGTATTAATTTAATATTTTTAGTTTATATATTATTTTGCTGAATATAGAAATACGTCAATCGTATACCATAGTATACTTCTTTAATAAAGGAAATACAAAAATTCAAAGTATAAGGTACTTTTTCACGGAAAAATATCAAAAAATCGGTTTTTGATTTTTTATACCACGGCACATTCTACCAAAAAGACGTAATATGTTGCTACTGTGAAAGGATACATGTCGTGCCGTTAAAACTTCAATAAGAACATATTTTTAATTATTTTTTAGCGTTTTTGATTTTTTACAACTAGTATAGGTACTCAACTAAAACATCGCAAAAAAATCTTCAATACGCGGCCCCAATAAATACTATCTGTCAGATTTTTTACAGATTTTTGCGCATCATTAAAGAGGGAAAATAAAGGAAAACCCGACAATCCTAATTTTCCCTATTACTAACCTCCTGATCGAGATAGAGGGTTGACACTTGGCACAGACTGTTTTTTCCTGGCAAGCTATCGAATGGTATATCACAAGTCAAAATCGGTCTAAGGGCATTTTTGAACCCTTATCGTGCTGTACCCTTTATTAAAAAACTAAACTTAATGAAATTCTTAGAACCACGGTTTCTATTTAGGAAAAAATTGTACTATTACACAGGTAGATACACCCATACCTCGCTTTACGGCCTAGATACGTTCCGGAAACGTTGGCCGTAAAACGAAAAGCCGTATAACGAATCAATTATTTTGATACAAACCCATACAAATTCAATTGGATCTGCTCCAATTTTTTATAAAATAATATAGTTTTTAGTTCATAAAGCATTTTATTCTTTTTCTTTCCTATAAAAATGCATTTTTTTTGGCCGTATAACGAAACATTGTGGGCCGTAAATCGAAAAAGTGCCATAATTAAAAAAAGCCGTTATAGCGAAATGCCGTATAAAGAGCAGCCGTATAGCGAGGTATAGGTGTACTTATTTTCTACTTCAATGAAACATAATGTTAGCTTCGTTAATTAAACACGAAGTACTAAGAAGTATTACTTCCATAATTTATAAACAAATAGAATTAGTAATAAAGCTCCTAAAATTATGTTAGACGCAACAGAAAGAGCCGTAGGAGTCTGTGAATAATTTATTACAATGGACTCTTGATATATTACCGCGCGAGGTACTTCTCCATGCGTACTTTTATGTGCACATATTCGCTTTCCCACCTGTTGCGTAAGTCGTCTCTACCAGCACGATCCAGCTCTTGCGCAGGCGTTGGAGTCGGAACTACGGCGGCAGAATTTAGCATGGAGGGGGCTCTCAATACATTACCACTTCCGAGAATTTAACTCCCCTACAGCCCCGACCGCGGCATAATATCAAGAGTCCACTACGTGAAATGTTTTAAAACACTGTCTCTTCTATAGAAACCAAATCTACGGAACTATATTTATATAAATACTTACTATTATTTTATTTATTATGTCGCATCACGCGAAAGGAAGTTACTAATTTCATAAACAGACAATTAAATACTAAAAAAAAAACTCCAAAATCTTACTTAAAAAATATCCAAAATCAATGGTTAACTCGGAACATGGGAAGAGTATTTTGTTCTTGTAGGTGAAAATTGTTCTAGTTTTTGTCGGAATTCCGTCGAAATGAAAATAACGAATTGGTTATAACATATTTTTTTATCTTTATATCAGGTCGAGAATTTTTCTGCGACGTCTGTCCACATGTTCATTTTAACTGATTCATGTGCAACGTGCATGGCATTTGCATTACAGACGCGTCCCCGTTGAACGACACGACACATTATTCGAAACTTGTTGCATTATTCTAATCAAGACCCTAATACTGGCACGCTTTTGCTTTTATTCGCATCTGGGCAATGCGGCTCGTTTGTACCCGTAATGAGCATGATTGGGCGCGCCTATACGTCGCCGGGATTCGATTCTACGGAGAGTTTCGAACGATCCTTTCGTTCGAACAAACAGTTTCGTAGCGGGGCACAATTGGTAATTATTATATAGAACAGACTAGACCTTGCCGAATTTACGGACCTTGATAAATGTTGTAAAGATTAAATTCCCAATTATAATAACGCAATAGGTATAAAATTTAACACGAATTGTAATATTTTTTTTACTTGCTAAAGAAATTGAATATCTCTGTTACGTTATGTAAATCAGTCATGGCGATATTCCAGCTGTATATATACTATAAACCTACTCGTTACAGGTTCACTTAATTTTTTCTTTACAATTTCGTGGTAAATTTTATCTTATTCATCCTAGTATTATTTAACAACTGATGCAACATGATGATACCCTTGCAGTATATTACAGAGGACACGGTAATCATTGTATATTATTTTCAAATCTGCAGTCACAAAATAAAATAATTTAAAAGTTGAAACACGTACAGTTACGGAAGTTGCTTTCACCATTTATTCAACTGCTTCCGCCGAAGATCATACGTATTGGAACTGATTTTTCTTCCCGACCCATTCAAGAGTTTCACGGGTCCATTAATCAACGCTTCGAAATCGTTTCTCACTACGTATGGATCGGTTTATTGATATCCGTTCAAATCAACCCATGATGGGCAAATACGGTTTCATCGACAGCGATGTGGAACTCTGATTTACTGGCGGCTCTGCGGGCGGACGCCGCGTCTGTGGTACTCGGGAAACGAAGAAAAAGGGATGGGGCAAAAAAGCGGGGGAAGGCGAGACACGTGTGTAACAAGCGTCACGATCATTAATTCAAAATGACCCCTATGCAAATCTCTCGTGTACAGGAAATCCTAAGAAACCGCCTAGAGCCTAGAGTATCAAATGCTACCCCACGACGTCCATACACCACGCTTCTTTCCTTTTCTCCACGCCGCTTAAAATTATTATCGCGCGTAACTTATTCCGCGACTGTCGATAACGTGTTCTCTTCCATCTTTCGCGTCCGATCTCGCTACTACTTCTTGGAATTTAATTCCCATACTCGTAAACCCGGCACCCTGCAGTACTACCAATTTCTGCATCGTGTCGGGAGCTCGAGAAAATAATGACCGGAGATGGACCACGCAATTCGCCGCTCCTGTCGTGTCACTGTACCGTGTCAAGTAATCGAAAGAAGAATTTCGCTGCAGGCACGTTTGATAAACGTGAAAATTAATCAACGGAAAATACGGTTATTGTATCGAAACGAAAAGAAATATTGATATACAAAATTTCCCCGAGACATGACCAATATAATCCAATATAATGACCATAATAATCTAACAATACAGAGGAAATCGATAGTAGTGGTGTATGTTTACGTAATGTAAATACTCATGCTCTCAAAATTGTGGCAACGCTCACGTAAATGGTATTTTATAGATATAAGGTAATTATATTTTAAGGAATATAAGAATACAAAAAGAACACTTCCTTCTTTCTTATAAGCACAACAATTGGTGCTTTATTAATATTTGTGAGATGTTAAAACTATTTATTGACAACAGTATGTCCAGTTCTAATACCAAGTAAAAAGTTAAATATATAGATGTTATCAGGTACTTACTCAGAGGTAGATAATTTTCGTTTGCGTTCTCTTGTGTTAAGATTCGTCTCCAACGATGCTTGATATTCCGCATATTTTTGAATCTTGTACGTAGTTGCTTTATTCAGAGTTTTGATTACTACGCTAGCTTGTTCACGACGATTTAACGCTACATAGGCGGACATATCGGACAACCAGGACACGTACACGCTTCCTACACAGACACAGGAATTAATTTTATACATACAATTAGTACTACATAATGCCGTACATGGTAAAATGTGAAACGAATTAATATGGCTACAACAGAAGTTACTTTCATATACAAGGTGTTCGATAACAGATGTCAGAAAAAAGGGGTAATTTATATGCTGAAGTAGGACAAAAATTAAGAGTAACAAAATTGCCGTCGACCTTCCGGTTTTTCGTTACGAGCATTTACAAATTAAGATGCAAAATGTAAAAAATCAATGGGGACCACAAACATATCTTGTAAAAATGAGGAAGAAATTCGACAATATTCGTCGATGCTACAAGGACCTTTGGAAATTCTTGCACAGTATTAAATTTACATATTCTTCGAAACTGTCGCGGGCCAAAATCCAAAAAAATCTGCACACACACACCTAGCTAGTAGTCACCAAAAAGTTCATAAATACACAACGAGTACCTACCTATCAAAAAGTTTGCACATACATAATGAACATCCACTAAAAAGTTCGTACATAAACAGCGAATTTCTATTAAAGATCTTACACATACACGACAAGAATTCACCAGTAAGGTCACGTACACACTGCAAATGTCCATCAAAGTGCTTTACTAACTACACCTTTGGATTGGTGGAGAGTAAGATAAGAAAGGCGCTGCAAAATTAAACTTAACCTTGCAAATCAAGATCAAATTCTTTTCCATTGCATCATATTCTACTCGTTGTGAAAATAAAAAGTCTCAAAAAAACTATGGATCGGAACCCAACCGTCCTCTTGGAAAATGATGTTAAAGTTTCATTAGCATTCGGACTCACTTCATTTACCATCCATTTTTCAATCAGATGCAGGGTGCATAGCATCTGTTGTCGCACGTAGATACCCCAGATACACTATTACATGTCCCATATCTTTCTTTCTTTCTTAAGACGTTCACAGTTCGGTGTCTTATATATCTACGGGGCAGCTCTAGACACGCACGTCAACTGTCCCATCTAATAAAGTCGCCTTAACAGCAGACATGTAATGGTGGATCTAGGTTATCTACGTGCGACAACAGATGCTATTTATCTTGCATCTGATTGAAAAAAGGTAAATAAAGTAAGTGGTGAGTGAATGCTAGTGGAACTTTAACATTATTTTCTAAGAGAACAGTTGAGTTCAGACCCATGATTTCTTTTGAGTCTTTTTATCCCAATGAAAGAACTTCACAGTATTATTATTGAAAAAAGGAAGTAGATTAGACATTATTACATAGGTCATTTCTTGTTCTGTTTGAACTGTCTTACCATCCAATAAAATATTTCAACTTACATTTGGGTCACTTTCTATAATTACTTGTAAGATATGGAAATTACTGTAACATATCACTCACCAAATGGGCTAAACAGTTGAGAGATATCACTAAGCTTCCACTCTTTTGGGAATGTCAAATGGAACACGTGATCCCTGCTAGGATTTGCTAGACACGAAAAAATTAACAGTATTAATACTAAATCATTAAATTTAACAATAAGTGTAATTATATACCGTATAACTATCCAAGAAACTCACACTGAATAATGAATAAAATTTAATGACTTACGTATAATGAAATGAAATTTACTTGTTTAAAAAAGGATTAAGAAGAGGTGAATCAGACAGAACTATTGAAACTCCAGGCTTCTGTATAGAACCTGCAATAGCATAATGTATTATGAAAAAATTAAAAAATTACAAGAAGGATTTAGAGGATTTACTTGGAATAAGCATGTTATCTACTAACCAAGATAGTTACATAATGCAATAAAACATATTCCAGTGATGTAAGCGTCGTAGCCTGCCTCGTGGTATTTTTCTGCCAACGTGATATAACTTCTACCATCGACAGATTCTATATCTGGAATCTTAAACGGCGACTTGCTAACCCTTTCTAGTAATACATTTAAATTCGACGATGGTACATTTTCCTTAAACTGTTGCGATTGGCAAAGTACTTTCGTATCTAAAATTCTATTAAAAACATCTTGATAGAATAAACAATATCTACAGACTATATAAAAAAAGTTGTAAGAAATTTTCAAATATTACCTTGGAAATAAGCTATGAACGAGAGATTTAAATTCCGTGTAGGTTTCTGGTAAAGGTCCGAAAAATTTATGTATTATATGACAGATGTCCAGTAACATGTTATGACCGACTATTAATTTCCCCTGAAATAAAAATATATTTCGAGATGCATTATTATTATTTCAATGAAATAAAAACCGTCAACAATACTTACAGACTCAGCAATTTTCTTTAAGACTGTACTGAAACCAACTGCTTCTTTGATTTCCAACTTTTCTCTCTCTCTTCTCTGAATTTCCTTGTGTTCCTCTTCTTCTCTCGTCCCTGACCTTTGTACTATAAGACTGTGTCCAGAACAATCCGATTTGCTTTCAACTCTCAATTTATTCGGCCATCTTACCCTTACTTCTTGATGTACAAGTCGCCTAATAAAAGCATTACACTTGTCTATGATCAATTCTTCCGCTTCAGAAGCTAAGAACTCGTCTATCCTCGTGCTGAAATATCCCCAGTTAAAAATCTTCCGCTATATCTAAATGCACAAGATTGTTGATCGTTTTACCAAATTTCTTCAATTTGAGGTCTATCGTCATCCGAAATGGGTATCAATTCTGGTACTTCGTCTCTTGCCTTCTGCCTCTCTTCTAATCGTTTCACCAACTTTTCTTCTTCGCTCGTCGTTAAATAAGGAATACCCAATTTAAAAAGTTTATTAAAATCGAACCCTTGAGTAGTTAAGAACGATATAGAAGATGCTTGACACATAAATCTGCAGTCTGGAGCTGCGCGATTCAAGGGTCGTGGAAAAACATAAAAGTTATACGATCGTTGACTGTACCTTTAAAAAAAAACATTATTATATTCTTAAAAGAACCTACTAATGGATAATAATTTCGACTAGAAAATTCACTCTTAATTGCAAAAGGTAACAGTATTATATGTACTCCTTAAATTGAAAAATAATCAATCTTTAGTTCCTTAATTTAAATAATTTAACACAATTGCAGCAGACTAGTAACTAAATGCCTCCTGTTTTATTAAATAATGATCACAGTGACTCGTATTGAAAATTGAAATATGTTTGTTAATAATGACAGAGAAAATTTGAAATTACTGTCAATGACCAGTGACATTAACCATACAGTGTGATATTTTGAACTGGGTTGGGTTATAATTGTGTTCTAAATAAAAATGAACAAAATGTTACAGAATGTTTTTTCATGATAAATATGTACAGTGAACGTATCCATTCTATGACACAGTATTGGAAATGCACTTTAGTTATTAGTTGAAATGATATGAATTTTTTTCATATTCAATCAAAGCAGAATTATAGCCCAGTTCAATTACCATGTAATTGTGAGATCACTCCACATATACACAAATAACAACCCAGCAATCACAGCATTCAAATGTGATTCACTACTATGGAAAAATACACATAGAAAACAAACGATAACATACTTGTGATTTTGAGTATCAAATGTAAAAGCAGACAGGCCGAATTGTACAAGAAGAAAGTCCATTGAACCTGCTCTTAATTTGGTATAATACTGAGCAGGTGTGTCAAAAGCACTAACATTAGGTCCTGAATTGAGTCCTGTGAATTCTCCATCAATTCCAAGAAATGACGCATTTTTTAGAACATCATCCAATTCCGTCAGTACCTCTTGAAAATCTGAAAATTACAAAATATTTTTAGAAATTTTAAAAACAGTACTGATAATATAGTGAATTTATTGTTTGATACATTGACCTTACAAGTATATAACATATATAATTTTCATCAATTATTCTCAAACACAAATAAAAACTTTACCTGCATTAAATATTACATGTTTAAAAATTAAATTTCATGGACACACATAAAGCTAATTCTTTTAATGATAATACATGATTGCTTTATAAACGTTATAAATATAATTAAATATTACGATTAGTTCAAAATCTTGTATATAAATTAAACTTCAGTAAAAAAAACACGCAGTAGCATTGACTACGTGCTGCGATTGGTAGCTAACGTTACCCCGGGAGCTCGGCCGGCAGACTCGCGCTCTAATTGGTCGTGGTTTTTCGTTAATATCTCGTTAACAAAGCCTCGAATAACATTTTTTGCTAAGGAAAAACTTGTTCCAAATCACCTCACGAGTGATCCCTTACTGGGACCTACTTTACGTTTGTTACACCCTGAGTATAATATGGGATAGTCGAGAATACCGATTCGGGAACCGATCGTCTTTCGACCATTGTCAACCGATATCGGCAATGAACGGAATAAACGGCAAAAAACTGAAAATGTTGCATAACTGCACGCTACAATTACGTTTGAATGTATTTCGATAAGAGAGAGGTAATAATTATTCATTTATTCTTAATAATTCTTCTCCTATATTCATTTATTATAAAAAATAACAATTTTTTATTTTTATAGTGGAGCGATGCCACGAGTAAACATCGAGCAATACGATATCACCACGACCGACAATACTTTATCGTGAGGTAATCATTTAAGCGACCGGAAGCGACGGTATCAACGTCGACAACAAGATCCGTTACTTCTACGGTGAATGGACGACTTCAGCAGCCGACAGTTACTTGCTACAACTGCAGGGATGTAGTGCATATTTCAGAGCAAGGGGTGAGAGTCGTAAGCTCTGTCCAAAATTCAAAGGATCGTTCTGGATTCATAAAATAAATACTCGTAAACGATCGATACGAAGTCAAAGATTTACGACATGAAGTCATTTGTAGGTGATAATTGAAACAGCGAGAGAGGACACGGCCATGGTATAAGCAATGGGGTTGACTGATTATATGATTGTATCATGCCATCGGGTCGATAGTGATGTCTAGCCACTACGGAACGATGATGATTCCGATATCATGATAATAATGAGATTTTTGCAACTATTGTATGATGGAATTGTGCCATTAGGCCGACGGTGATGATCTAGCCACTGTCGGATCATAATGAATTCATTTTGAAATGTTGGTAGCGGTTTATGGAAGGAATTTAATGCACTAGGCCGTACAACCATTTTGAAGTGGTGCAAAAGGTTTAAAGAAGGTAGAACATCGACCAATAACGATCCGGGCGGCCGTCAGAAGCCAGATTCTGTGACTCGCGAGAAGTAATGAATACAGGAAGACAGACAACCAACAATACGAGAAATTGTTGGAAAATTTAACTTATCGTAAGGTACGTGTCAATCAATTTCGATGAAAATTTGCCACGCAAGAGACCGGAGAAGTGGAAAACTGGCTCGTGGACACTGCATCACGACAATGCGCCTTCGCACATTGCTTATAACTCCATGCGGATGTTTTCGGCAAAAATCATCAGCATACCCGTTATTCAACAACCATCCTACACTAAACGCCAAATAAGACCATAACTGTTGTACATATGTATAAACTATAGGGGAGAAGGTGGTAATATGGACCAATTAATATGTCAACATCAAAATTCAGCTTTATATCATAATTTGATAATTGGGTAGAATGAAATCGAAATTAGTAGATTTTTTTAATAGAATCCTGGGGAGTCCAGATAAAAAAATGGAGACCTTCAATCCATGCACGAATCGAGAAATACAGAATATATTTCTTGAATAATCTTCCAACTAGAAACATGAGTATCATAAAATGGTAGACACATAATCATATACGATTTCTAATATTGTCATTAGTGGCAAGACATTTTCTCGCTACACCTGCTAATCAGGTATCCAGACAGTGACTATTTTGTATATCTGGAAACACAGTAACAGCAACACAAACAAAATTATTACCACACAATGTGGAAGAGCTATGTTTCTTAGCTGCTAATTTCAAATAAAAATATACTGTTGCATTATACTTAAAAAATTTGTGAATGTATATAAAAGTATGTATCTCGTTCCCATCATGTTCTCTCTTTGTATATTTAAAAATTATTTCACATTACGTATTTACATTATTCACATTATTAAATGACTGACATACTACATATGGACTTATGCATATCCATATACACAATGTGTACTACGAATACGATGTACCCTGACATGAGTCTACCTGTGATTTTATGAGTAACCAATCAACTATGAAATTGTAGCATGATATTGTCAAAATCCTAGACCAATCCGACTTGACTTCTTCCAACCTAACTCGAACCCGTAATCATGTTTACTCATACCATATCATAAATAATAATTTTTTCAAGTTTCTTTTATGATTTTGCTACCTCAAAATCTAAATTATGTGTTTCTAAATACAAAATTGTTAATAAGTTCTTTATTGTCTTATTATTTCATACATTTTTGTCACATTCAAAACTTTGCCAATAATTTTGTGACATAAAAACATGTAAGAAATTGTTAAACTTCATTTTTCCATAATTATTAAGCATAATTTCATTTCATTTTATAGTTTCATTAGTTAGAATTTGAACTATACATTTTTCAACACGAAAATATTGAAAGCTCTTTTATTATATTTTTATTACTCATATTTCTGTTAGCTCTTTGCCTGTGCAAAAAATTTGTGATTCCCTATTATAACACTATCAATAATAAACCATGTTAACCTCTTCGGCTTAAATATGTCTGTATTAACACTCTACCTTAACAGATAATAATTCAACATCTGTAAAATATTACTACGCTCAATAGCTTCACTTCTTCTATTAGAAAATGAGCACTATAATAAATGCTACCGTTTTATATATAAGGATACCACCGTTAAAAGAAATACAATTACATTAAAGATCTGCTTCCATAAACTTACATGGGTATTCACAAACTATGGGAATTATCATACATTTATATATCTCTTGAAGAAATAGCTGTTTTTAAAAAACCACAATTACAAAATAGTGTATATATATTACCTAAAACCTGCATAAAGTTCATTCAAAAAGCATAAAAGCATGTGTGGCTTAAGCACGTAGAAAAAAAATATACATATACCTTAATTTTTCCTTGCATTTTCACGCCTTTTTGTATATATAACTCAAAGAAACCACAACATGCCCTTAGAGAGAACCTCAATATTAAAAATTGGTTTCAGTGAAAGAACTTTACAAAATCATGTTGCCATCCACCTCAATGACATATATAATATGTATGTAAGTAGTATGATATTAATTTTTATCGGTTACTCACTCAATCGTGTCACTTCCATTTCTTAACCTTTTCTGTTGTTTATCCACAATCAACTTGCAACAGACATTTCTAATTTCCTTGAATTTCCTACCCGGAAGCGGAATTAAACACAGAAACAAACGGGATCCACCGATCCCGCAAGATTTGACCAGGTCACAGTATAAGTATAATCAGTATGGTCACTCCGTGTCGGCTCCTTTGACGTAGCGTCAAACAGTCGCCATGTTGGTTGTATAGCGCGCTAATATTTAAAGTCTGAAAAAGCAGCATGTGAACCTATGAATCAATACTTTCATATTATATATATGTATAAATAACCGCAACTCATATTTTTGTAATGAAGTATTACAAAGTTACAAATATGATTGTCCTGTAAATTCATAACCTTTACTTCGTAACCTTACATGTTAATAATTTATTTTTTAATATTTGAGTTTTTTTTAGTAAACAATCATGAAATTGACTGAAAGATCATCGTTTCTTTACATGAGTTTTCGGCACCTGCCCGTCAAGTTCATAATTTTTTACCAAGAGAAGCTCGAATATTATAAAATGAACAATTAAAAGCGCTAAGAATTTACCGGACAATCTAATATAATCTGATTGAAGTAAAGCTAGGTGTCCATTTGATGGTTCCTTACGATAGTTACTCTCGAGAGTAATAGTGTTGCGTATTGTTGCGTATTCGCCTGTATCGTTGATTTGGTTTAAAACGCCATCTATATATTGTATATTGTATGTTCTTTTAAAGGCGCTAAATTCAAGTCTTATAGTTAATTGATTAAATGTGAAAATACAATGTTTCTTAATTAGTTGTTAAGGAATTGTTCATAGAATAGGTGAAACGCTCGTTTAATTTGGGACTATTAATTGTTGAAAATGCAAAACAAAATACACGTAGAATACGTCCAGGGCTAGTTATATTACTCGACAGCCGTTGGCCAGCTGATACAGCTGATGTGGTAATACTTTTTTTAAACTTTATAAAAAACAGAAGGCCAAAAGTTTAATTTTAGCATGTTGCATCATCCCTTAAAGTTTCTAACAACCGCAACCGAATACCCTGTATACTAAACTGGAACAATTTAGATTGTTTATTTACAGAAATTATCAATTCTTGATACAGATCTATATTTTATATTATCTTACAATACTTATATGACAATTTTGCATTAGATGGTTACAACTTCAAAATTAACATTTTGTATTGTGCACCTTGCTTCCTTATCACTCTCCTGAGCTTGTGGTCAGTCGCTACTTAATTACCACTGGGTGTAATGTGCGAACCCCGCGGTCGTTAAATTTTTATCATTCCTTTTTTAATTTAATCCACTGTTTCTTTAAAACGTTGTCCACACAAATATTTCGTTGTGCTTATTTTATTCCCAATGCTTCGTCAGGCATAATCTTTCATTCCTATTTTCATTTACGAATGGACTATCCTAAATACAAAGAACGTTAATTAAAGTTGCAATGTTGCATTATTGCTGTTAGCTTCTAGTACAGCTTCTATGAAGTCGAAATTATTTAGCAACTGATGTATTTGCTTAACTTAATATTTATTAAAACTCAACTCGGCTAATAGATACATATAAATACAAACCAACTAGCGCGGATATATTATAATTTGCCTTCGCGTTTTAACTGTTTGTCAGATTCTGTCCTTTGAGATTAGTGTTTACGTTTTTACTCCGTTCCATCTTCGTCCTCCCCCTCCAAGTGGTTGAGTTTTACAAGAAGTGTTTCTGCTTCAGAAGCCAGTGAACTTTTTCCCTACGTCACTTGATTACAGCTGACAATTTTTTAGGATTTAGTTAACTAGGCGTTTGGAACGTGGAAGGCTACAGCCAGAGACCCTGACCCAGAGGATACACACACACTTTCTACCCTCTTTTTTTTTTGTAACAGACAGAAACCTTCCAAGAGCGTACCGCTTCCGTTGTGGGCGGAGTGTTGGCAGACGATTCCCGAGACGAAACGCTATCTTTTTGATTCGCCTACACATACATAATTTTCTATTCATACCTATAAACATAGCACTGAATTTTGAAGTGTCATCATTAGACTGCGGATGTTTGTGCATTTATAGCAGCTCTTAACTTGAAGAATGCAATAAAATATACGTTTCAATACAGTTTAACGCTATTTATGCGTTATTATTAACGTAGTATAGCCTCAACTATAGAATTCAAAATTCTGCTCCATTTTAATTTTTAGATATTAATATCTAAAATTTTGATTTTGCACAAACTTCCGCAGTCTAGTCATCATACACCGCTTAATTATAAATGAACACGATTAACACTCTAGCAAAAAATTCGATCACGAAATAAAAGCTGTTTGTCAGTAGGTATGTAAACATGGTCCCTGAGTCTGCCGTTGAAGGTGTCAACCCAGCAAATCCAAACAAATTTATGGAGTTACATAAATTCACGAATAAAAACGGATTAAATGAATATTCCATCGTTCGTTTGCAGACATTTATCTTTATGAATTAATTGTAGACGATGTTTTAGATTTAAAAGTAAGGATAAATAAAGAAATATATTAAAGTCGGAAACTTCTAATTCATCAATAACCAATTGACAGGCTATGTGTAATAGATGAATTCACGACTTCTGTTTTTAACTCAATTAATCTCATGTTTGACTTAAAATACTTTTTAACATGCACATACATTGCAATATTGTTTTCTAAATGATCGTTTCAATTCCGTTAATTTTATTCGAAGAAAAAATGCGTCTAATTGATAACAATTATCACACATGCGGAGGAAACGAGCCAAAAGGGGACGAAGTCTGCACGACGAATAGAATAGTTTTTATTCCTTTAATTTATGCCAGGTCAGAGAGACTAGTTGAGAGCTAAAAGGAGCATGCTGGATCTCTTAGTTGGCTCGTTAGCCGGCGAGTTCTTTCTTCTTTCATGGGCTGCTAATTATCTGTATAGCTTCCTGGAGACCTGCACCCATTACGACAACACACCCCGTGGCCACCAAGTCGCGTGCTGAGCTTACAAATTCGATAATCGCTTTTCTCGCGATAAGTCCTAATTTATGGGGGTTTTCAACGATTCTAAGCCCGCAACTGTGTTAACTTCTGGACAATGAAAAACACTGTTATTCGCAGTTAGTCATTCGCGAAGACTATTCTCGTAAAGCAGCGGCTGTTCTGTATTCTACTATACATATTTGTGCGTTGAATCGCACCTTGTACGTCTTTACAATCTTTGCTTCCACTAGGACGTTGTCACAAGATTGGATCTTCAAATGCTATAGTGAGGTTAACTGTTTTTTTTACTCGATCAAACTGTATAGGTTAATCAATAAGTAACTTACATCCCACACCCAACCCCTCCTTCAATTTTTTATTTAACCCTTTCATTCCTAGCGCCTAATTAATCCAGCAGCCACGTAATGTGCCGTGGATACTGGCGTCGGTACTTTTTGGGAATTTATAATAAATCTATTGATTACATCAACCTGTATCATATTATCATTAGTTGGTCAGGCCTCATACGTAGACCTGATCGCCGAAGATTATCCACGTGCAATGTGTGATTGACAATGATGACTGCATCGAAAAAAAAATAATTTTCTTTTTGTTTATAAAAAAATTATCATTGAAAAACATTACTTATCAATTTTGTATTTTCTTTAATAAATACATGCTTACCAAGTTTAGTTTTGAAATTCCCATTTTTACACCCATATTAAGCTTCTCAACTCCTAATTCGGTGTTTTGTACCACTGTGCGACGGTTCGACAATTTTGCTTTTTTTACCAATTATCGATGAAGGGAGACACTTGCTGAACTATGCTCTGTGTGAGGCTGCGTTTACTTTTTGAACGTACCGTGTACATAGATCATGCGCCAAACGCTGGGCTTACAAGCTCGATAATAACTTATACAATCAGCCTTGATTTATTGGATACTCGTCACAGCACGCTGCGAAACTATTCTTTCTTCCCTCGTTTTTCCACGCACTTGCTTGAATACGATATTTCGTTGACGCGTTCTATCCGTTTCTTCCGCATGGAAATGCGATTATCGTCGACTGTATTGTAATATTTTGCGCGCCGGAAGTGACAAATTATTTACGCGTTCATGGTCGCGTAATCTCCTTCAACGCCAGTCAAGCTTGACGAAATTAATTTCATGATTTACGTGGAGCCCTGAAAAAGTAGAATTCCACTTTCAAACGGAAAAGCTCGCGGAGATTCACCGTTCATTGGTGATTTTTAATTAGGCACAATTCGATTATTTGGAAAAGTTTCTATTACATTTTTACAGAAATTCACGTCTTTTTACGATTATGTTCATTTTCGTATATTGTTGCGTACCTAGGATTTTATTATACAAATACAAAATTGCATACTTTTACACTGTTACTTGGAAGTACGAAACGTGATAACTGCTCTTTGAGTAATTATTATATTAAATTATCACAAAAAATCATTTTAATTGATTTATATAACTAACAATGGTCACTTTTATAAGATTAAACACACTGGGGTTATTCCATGCCAAGTCGATCCCTTTTTGTACTCGCTGTCAGGGATTTTGTTCAACATGAAATATGTCGTAGTCCGCGTGAAATTAAGGGGGTCTAAATCATCATTTTTCCGTCCCCAAATTTGTTTACAAAATATAGACTCCTGAAGTTTACAATGCTTGCCTATTTTTCGTGACACAGTGATGTACTTAAGAATTGACATCTCGGAAACTATTTATCGTATTGAGTTCCTCCTTGGATTATTTTAATCTAGAAGAATTGCACTACCGTAATAATGTTTTTGTTATATGAAAAATTGATTTTGGAATACTGAAATTTATAAACAAATTCTTTTTTTGTGATTTTATCTTCTTGAAATCTTACCTAGAAAATAAGATCTTCGAAAAAATGGACTAATTAAAATTAGCCACACAAGGGACTGTAAAAATACTGCTCATTTTTGTAAAACTCGTAGAACTTTTGATAAAAATAAGATAGATGTATGCATCTTTTTCGTGGCTATGACTAATTATAAGATATTGCAGAATCAGGTAAAATTACGGAAAAAATATCACACACACGTTTTGAATTTGGAAATC